TGTTGACAAAACTTCTAAGTGCTCTAATGAGTAGAGCTTGAGAAATGACTAATTCCTTACCTGAGTATGATGCATGTATCGGGTTAGAGGTGGAGGGCATGCTTAATCTGGTAATCACTTATGGAAAATGGGATAATTTTCCTGGAACAAGCCTGATTAGTCATAATGTGCCATACTGGCCAGTGCTCAAGAGAACAGGCCAAGAATTTGGCTCTGGCACATATCCACATTCTCTTTATGATTCCACCCCACCCACCACCCCCAACACCACCTCACCACAGCACCACCTTCTCCCCCCCCGCAAAAGTAATGAAATAATAATGGTTGGTGGCACCACCTAAAAGTAGCATTACAGATGTTCCCAGGGCCTTGGAGTCATTTCTAGGTTAGAATTCTGGTACTATTACATAGCTGAGAGCACTCATTTCATCAATGTTCTGCTTTCATCTGCTCCTGAAAGTTGGAAGTAGGCTGTAGTGAACTTAAAGATAGGAACTACAAAGCATGTAGCCTTTTCCTCTTCTGGTCATATTCTTGGCAGTAATCTAGTACCCACCTATATATAGTCTTGCCAGCTGCTTAGCTGTAGTCAGCCTTGTTTCCCAGGACTCTCTCATGACCATAACTAACAACTTCTCTTGAAAGGGCTCTTGCAGTTTCAGTGAAGCTGAAGCTAGACAGCGGTTGTCTTCTCCTGGGAGCCTTCATTGCCAACAATGAACTTCCAACCTTCATTGCTAACAGAGCCAACATTGCCTTCTCCATACACTTAGGTTTGTGTTTGCTACTCAGTTTTTATATTAATCACTTTTCACATTCATATATATGCAAAGTTGTTATAAAAATATTTAGGAAGAGAGAAGTCTGTGCCATACTAAGCCCATCAAGATGTTAAAATTTATAGTACTATAGAATCTCAAGGTATTATTAAGCTTTCAAGGACTAAAGACTAACAAGAACTACTAAACTGGTTTGCTTAGTACCACTAAAACCACTACCTTTTGAGACACAATTTAGAGAAATTAAGGCTTAAATTTTAAGGATGAGTACCTAAGGCATTTCATTGATCCCACAAGGCTCACTAGGAAAGATGGTCCATTTAAAGGGGATAATTGAGGAGAGCTTAATGAAGATACTAATTGAAAAGGACTGAGCAAGGTTAAGAGAAGCCAAGTCAAGGTAGTGAAGTACCTCAGCAGTGTCCAGATCTAGGGACATGTTCTACATCTGTATTGTCCAGTACCATAGCCATTGGCCACATGTGACTATTGAGCACTTAAAATGTGGGTAATGCAACTAAGCCACTGAATTCTTAATTTTATTCAATTTCTATTAATTGAAGTTCAAATAGCTATGTAGCTAATGGCTACTATAATGAACAGTGCAGCTCAGGTCTAGCAAAGAGCAATTACAATCCTAGGCCTGAAGAGGTAAGAAGGAACAATTACTGGAACCTGGAGTGATGCAGAATTAGAGCTATACCTTATTACATGGAGAAAAAGCTGTGACCTTTGACAAAAAAAAAGGGGGGGGGGGGGGGACTCTGCCAACTTGCAGACTAGTAGGAGAAACACTGAGAATGCCCTGCCTCACTCTTCCTGTCCTACATCTCCCTCTGGTGCCTGTGACTGGTAGAACTCACCAGAAACTAGAAGACAAGAAAACTCATTGATATAGTCCATGAAGGAGAGCCCCCTGGAGCACAGACCATAGTGAAGGGTGGAGAGGAGAACTGAAGCAAAACATTACCATATCATGTATGCAATGAGTTGAAGCATCAATTGTTTGATTTATAAGCACTCATAAATCTATATAAATATGGAACCAGGGACAAAAATGGAACAAAAGCATATTTTCCAATGAAGTCCTATATAAAGATCATTGTTTAATCTATCCCAGAGTTCTCTTATACACTAAATAGCACAATGCTTTAATAAAGCTGTAACTGGGTTCATTTTAGGTTTCCTACATGAAGAATGAGGTCAATACCATGCCCCTTCAACTACATTCAACTTTAGATTCTTACCAAGAATCTGTGTGAAACTTTTTCCAAGGTACCTCCTCAAATCACAAACCATAGGAGTGGGAAATTTTTAATTTGACTTCGGTTAAAGGTCACTGTAACTCAATCCTATCTAAAAAAGAGGGAATATGCTAATTGACCTTCACACCATTGCAGAGATGGCGGCGCCCACAGCCACAAGATGGCCGGCAGGGGAGGGCAGTTGGGGGTGACCAGGCCGGCAGAGGAGTGGTTGGGGGTGATCAGGCTGGCAGGCAGCAGTTAGGGGCAATCAGGCAGGCAGGCAGGCTTGGGAGTCAGCAGTTCCAGATTGTGAGAGGGATGTTCGACTGCCAGTTTAGGCCCGATGGGATCAGGCCTAAACTGACAGTTGGACATCCCCTGAAGGGTCCCAGATTGGAGAGGGTGCAGGCTGGGCTGAGGGACACCCCTACTCCAACCACCCCTCCTCCACTGCATGAATTTCTAATAAATGGATAAACACAGATTAAAAAATGGGAGGAAGACCAACTAGATATAGGGATCTAAAGGCCTCCTCTAGGACTGTATGACCACTCTCTTAAGATAGGCTTACTTATGTTTTATTTTTGTATCATCTCTCTGAGTGATGGTATGTGTTTTAACATAATAGTGCTAATAAAATAAAATAAAATAAAATAAAATAAAAAGGAGGGGCACGAAGTAGGGTAATATCTGTAGCCGAAGTCAAATCCTATTTGTGGAAACCTTTATTGTCTACTTTAGTGGATCCAAAATAAATCAGAAGTCCAGTCCTTACTGCCCAGCACCCAGGGAAGAAAGGTCTAATGTTACTGTGTGGGGGTTGAAGTAGGTGCCAAAGGAAAAGCAGTTCCCACCACCTCCAAGGAGCAGGATCTGTTGCTCTTCAGGAAGGAGGATGCTGGTATGGTTGTGCAACATTAGAGGCCATGGTACACCTGTTGTGTCAATCTGATACTCAGAGCTCAATCCTGTAGTCAAATCGATAACAGTCACCCCGGGAACTGAGGAGGAATGAATCCAGACCCCTCCAACCAGTAGAAGCTTCTCATTAAGCACATGAGCTGTGTGGGAGTACCTTGGGGTAATGGGAGGCTGGATATCAACTGATTCCCAGAGGAATCCACAAGTGGTTGGTTTCAGAAAGACTACAGAGCTCAATGGCTCCTCAGAAGCACCCAGGCCTCCAGCAATAAGGGCCCCCCCTTGCCAGCTGCAGGCACTGTGGGAATGCCGGCCTTCAGGTGCCTCCCCCTCCACTGGGATCCTGACCCAAGTCATTGTCCCCACGTGGAGAAAATGCCAGTCACTCAGTACAGGTTCCCCCACACTTCGGCCCCCATAGACAAACAAATACTTCTGATTTTCATAGGACACTTGTGTTGTTGAATGCCGCCAACATGACAAAGTGGAATCTCCTTCTGTGCCAGCTTTTGTTACCGTTACATTTAGATCCTCGGTGCTATCATCCTCACTCTTACAAAAACGAAGCTGGAGAATCCCCAAGGCTGGAGTTACTGGGGACAGTCTCCCTCCCAGAACCAGAACCTGAATATCGGAAACTCTTGTCATGGTGTGATAAAGGCGTCCATCCCACTGAGCTTCAGTCCCCCTACTGCCTATTGGTTTGCCTTTCCAATCAAAGTCACTGCATCTTGAGAGCAAGTGAAACTTGCTCACTCGGCAATGCCGCCCTTCCTGCTCTCCAAATCCACCTGCGCTGAGAATGCCTGGGCTCAAGAGGGCAGAGGCGTGGCCATATCTCTTAAAGTGTGGGCCCTGGCTGTCACTAGTGACCACCTTGGCAAGGAGGGTCCCGGAAGGGGAAGCAGGATCTATCCAAGGAAACAGCTCTGGGGATGAAAGCACCCAAGTTTGGGAGAGAGTGTCTCCCTTAGAAGCGGCCAGAATGAAATAGTGGGCGCACTTCAGATGCCACTCCTCAAACTCGTCAAAGGGTTCGAGATTTTCCACGCGCCGACGTTCTTCTGCGGGCAGGAGGCAGCGATAGAATTCATTCATGTCCATGGCCCTGCAGGCAGTCCAGCCAGCCTGGAGGAAGCGGCGCTGCTGGGACGCCACGTCGGGGAAGCGGTCCAGGCCATGCAAAGGAGAATTGAGCTGCTGAAAATGTTGCTGCATGAACTGGCCAAAGGGGTCATGCGGCCTCATCTGCTCGTAGATCACGAAAAGAGCATCAGGAAAACGCTGGGCCGCCCAGGCGATGAGGGCCGCTGCATTATCCGGTTCCAGGTAGGTCAGCACGGCCTCAGCGAGGAGCAAAGTGGGTGCGGCTTCATTGAGGCCCGCGGCGGCCAGCGCCCGGTCCAATCGCTCCAGCTGCCTCAAGTCCAAGCCCAGGATGCGGTAGTCCGAACTCTCAAAGCACAGCGCTGACGCAGGGTCCCCGCTCCGGAAAGGCCCGGTTATCGCGCACAGTTCCGGCGTGTCTCTAATCCTCTCCGCTTTGCGCCACGCCACGTCTGGAAAATCGACCTCCCAGACCGCAGCCCAGGACAGGCGGCCTGCAGCTTTGAGGCGAAAATACAGCGAGTCCGAGCCAGCGCCCAGCGACAGGACCTGGGCGCGAGGCGCTCCCGGGGCCGCGCACGTCCGCCAGGAAGGC